GTGCAACTCTTGGTGCCTGGGGCACAGCTGTGCTGCAATCACAGCCAGCTCTTGCATCACCTGCATGGTGGCCTTTGGCAGTGGAAGAGCAGGAAGTAAAAAGTGTGTTGTTTTTTTTTAACAACCTGAGTTACACAAAGAATCAGATGGAGGCAAAATGCAGGAAAAGCAGTTTTGTAAGAGCCTTTTATCTAAGTGTGTGAAAGTTCAGAGGTGAAGAGGTTTGCAGCCAGAATAGCACGAGCTCTCCAAAACGCACTGTCTTTGCCAGAGTGCCATGGTGTCATTGACTTTGGATGGGACTGGGGAAGAGTTCACTGTAACGAAAGCCCTGTGCACAGCCCACCTGCAAGAGAAGAGCTGCCCAGGAGAGTGTTGCCAAGATGTGGGGATGATGGTGTGGGGATGATGGCTGCACCCAGCTGCCATGGACTGACCCCTGGCAGCCCTGCCGTTAAGGTGGGCTCACAGGGCACCAGCCCATGTTCAGCCACCCGTCCCACCCTGCTCCCTCCTGGCCTTGCCTCCCTGGCCCTCCTTGGGCTTGAGACTGTGCTGGGCTGTGGCAATGCATGCACAGGTGAGGACAGGAGGGCTGGGTGCTGTTTGTGAGTGCTTATCTACAACACTGTGACACAGCTTTCGTGAAAGAAGTGACAGCCCCATGGGCTGTGGCCCAGCACGTCAGGGAAGGTCTGGCTGCTGACCTCAGCAGTGTGTTTGTGTTTCTGACCTTACAAAACCCGTTCCTTCTGTGGCTGAAACCATAGCTGGAAATGAGGAAGAGGTGGGGAGCAGCGGTGCAGGAGGTGTGCTCGCTCTCAGGTGCCTCTCCGCAGCCCCGTGCAGCTGTGTCAGACATGCCTGGGGAGGAATTTACCCCAAATCCACAAACCAAGTGCACGGTCAGGCCCCCGCTGACGGAGCACCTCGTGCCCTGGCTGTGACTTTCAGGGCTGCTGTGCGGGCCTCGGGGGCTTTGGACCTCTGTCAGGGAGTTTGCCTAGAACAATTCTGTCCTCTGTGCCAAGACCTAGTCCTATCCAACACATTTCCTGCTGTTATCTCGATCCCCGTCCTCGGAGGAGGTTTTAATTTTAATCCTGGTAATTCAGAAATCAGAGAACATAGGAGACGCGTGGAGCTGCGGGATGCTGGTGCCCAGCTGGGCTGTGGTCTGTGTGGGCAGCACTGTGGGGCGCAGGGTGCGAGCCGCCCAGCTGCGCCTGTGGCGGCGCATGGGCTGCGAGGGGCTGCCGCGTGCCGGGCTGTCTGTGCTGCGCTGGGGCTGAGCTGCTTTGTCTATACTTAGTGCATTTTTCAGATAACCTTCTTGTGCTATTTTGGGGCTGAGTGCTGACTTAAGGCCCCTTCTTGCCCTTGTGCCCGGCTGCATCACAGGTTCCAAGCCTCTCGGTTTTCAGCATCCTCCAACACCCAGATGTGTAGAAAGGTGCTAGAAGGCAAATGGGCTTTTTGGGTTATTAGCACTGCAAAAAAGAAAGAAAGTAATGTCTTAAGCCCTTTTTCCTTCCTCCTTGGGCCCTGCAGGAGGAGTTTGAGGCCCAGGCCCTGGGCTCTGCAGGGCTGAGGTGGGACATAGGGACAGCTCTGCAGCACCCAGTGACAGACAGACCCACTGCTGTCACTGCAGCACAACACACCGCAGTGCACCACAGCTGGGCTGTGATGGTCATTCAGCACTACAACAACCAAGAGGGAGAAATTCTCCTTGCTAAAAGAGGCACAAAAGCCTTTCTTCCAAAACAACATGAAAGAGCTCTGCTTTTCCAATGAGACTCAGCAGCAGCAGCGGCGGCAACGTGGATGGTGGGAGAAGGGTGGAGTTCTGCTGCTTGGGCAGCTCTCAGACGAAGCTTCTCCTCCACGGACACCGCAATGAGGCTCTGATGGCCGCCTCTGGGCCCGGTGCTGTTGCGGCCATGGCTGGGCCTGGTGGCAGCTGTGCTGGAAGGAGTGCAGGGCTGGGTGCCTGCCAGGGCCCAGCAGGAGAGCCTGGGAGCAGGGACCTTCCTGCAGCTCTGTAAGGTCAGTGTCTGTGGAAGCTCTGTGCTGAGGCAGGCCACTGCCTCACATGCAAACTGATGGGCACAGATGCCGGGTCACCCTCTGGGCCATTGAATCCAGCGGCCAAGCTGGGCCTCTCCAAGGGCTCTGCAGGAGCAGCCATACGGCATTGCTGGGACAGGGCGGCGATCCCACAAGCAACAAGCAGGGATGTGGCCCAGGGAGCACTGCAGGTTCAATGCTGAGCCCCAGGATGGTGAACCTGGCAGAGCCAGGCTGAGCTCTCGAGGCTGTGCCCTGCTGTGCCCTGCTGTGCCCTGTGCTCAGCCTGCAGCCAGCACATGGGCTGTGTGAGCCAGGGAACTTGCTGTGTTCAGGGCTGCATGCATTTGTTTAAAGATTCTTGTATGTGTCAGAGGTCCCAGGATGGTGCACGGATAGCAAAGACTGCCCAGGACCTCTCCCGCCCTCCACTCCACAGCTCCATTGCCAGAATTGCTGTGACCGTTGCTGCTCTCTGCAGCCAGGTGCCAAGGTCACAGCCTCACTCATCACTCGGAGGCTTTTAGGATGTTCGGGAACTTGTTTTTCAGGTCCCTGGGGTGGGCATGGGGAGGACAAGATGGTGGGAGCAGCAATGTGCACATGTAAAATCTTGAGGAGGCACCCGGGGATCTGTTCCCATCATCTCAGCACAAAACCAGACTGTGGATTAAGAGAAGACTTTAGTGTTCCCTGCCTCCCCTCAATATAGCAGAAGCTGCTCGGGGCAGGACATTTATAGCTGCCCTTCCATACTGGGAGCTCTCTTGGGTTTCAGTGCTGGGTGATAACGGGAGCGTGGCTCTGAGCCGCCCCATTCCTCTGCCAGTAACAGGCAGAGATCCCCTGTCCTGGTGCCACACAGCTCTGTGGCTGGCTGTGCCTTGAGGCTCCATGGACTTCCCTCCACGCTACCATACAGCCAAGGGGCTCAGTGAGGAGGAAAGTGTAATAGAGGAGCCTGCCCCAGGCTCTCCATTAGCACTCTAGATCCCTCTCCCACTTTTTATACCTGGCTTTGCCATCTTGATCATAAGGGGCATAAAAAACTGCTGAGTCTCTGCACCAACACAGCTCATGGCAGCATATGGAAAGCACCACCCCATGTCTGTTCCCCCTTGCAGCCTCCTTTGTGCCCCTAATCCATACATGCTGTCACAGACAGCAGCAGGCTGCCACATCACAGGCTGAAGATAACATCAGTGCAGGTGAAGTCACTGCAAGGACAGACACTGGCACAGATGAGGAGCACTCAGGGTGGACACTGGGGAGGCCCTGCAGGCTGAGCAAGGCCAGACCCCAGGTGAACCGGGACAGAGTGCCATCCCTGAGCACAGCAGCTCCGGGGGCTTCTGACCTCCCAGGGAGCCCTAGGTGCCTGCCCAGGCTGCAGGGACAGCTGTGTTTCCCACGGGGACAGCAGCTCGCAGCTCCAGTGTCGCCTTCCAGACAGGGAAATGTCAGGAGCACAGCTCCAGTTGCAGGCAGCCTGGCCTTCGTCCCCTCTGGTGCTGTGGAGTGACACAGAGCTGGGCAGCCTGAGAGCTTCCCCTCATCTTTGTCCCCCCAGTTTTCTCCCCATCAAAGATTAGGGAGGTTGGGAGGCAAATTTTCCCACCGCTTCCTGACACCCAACATGATTTTTTCAAGGCTGGAGGGAACATTCTGCTTGCTTTCTCACTGGGCCACTGCTGTTATGAAGCCACCTTCCCTGAACATGTGGCCATCAGACACCATGACCTCACAGGCAGCCCCTGGCTGAGGCACGCACCCCAAAACCACCCTGGGGAGGATGACTGAGTACACCCCAGCGGCTCCCGTTTCCTCCTGTCCCCAAGCCAACCCAGGAGCTGGTAGAAAACAAGATGTCAGTCACAGGGGCACTGAGTCAGAGCGCTCTGGCCGGGTCAGGTGGGGATGCTGGCAGGATGCCCTGCAGGGGCTGGGCAGAGAAAACCAAACCTCCCCCCGCAGGCAGCCCTGTGTCCCACTGCTGTGTGTACCTGCCTCGGGCAGCCCCACCAGGTCCACATGCTTTGCAGTCCTTGCTTCAAGGGGTGCTTGGCTTTGCCTGGCAGGCAGCTGGTGACTCTCTTGCACAAATGGTTATTTAGGGACAATTTACCCTAATTTGAAATAGAGTGCAAGTCTGTTTGCTTGCTTGCTTGTTTTAATGAATGGAGAATGCCTCTGTCATGTTCATTTTTGCAAAGAAAGTCTTTTTTTATTATTTTTTTCTTTTCAGAGAAGTGTAAATCTAACACTCAGATTTATGTCAAGTTAGGTCACCACCTGATGTTCAGCATTTTCTTAGTGCTCTCCATTATTTGCTGTAGGTGAACTCCTTTGCTGCTGGAGGGCTGTGCTGCGAGCAGCCCCAGGCCTTGGCTGCAGGCTCCCAACAACCCAGACTGTCTCCATCCCAGGCCATGGGCTGAAGCCTGCCTGTGCCCCGGGCACAGCCTCCCCATATCCCCAGGTGCAGTGTGCAGGGCTGCTCCTTGGGGCTGCCGTGGTTGTCCCACGGCTGCAATCACTGTGAGCACACAGTGGGCACACAGCCCCTCGCTGGGGGTTCACGGCCGTCCCAAGGAGGTGTCTCCAGAGAAGGATCTATCCACCTCCAGCACAGGCAGAGCGGGTGTCCCCATGCTCACCGTGGCCTGTGAGCTGATGCCAGCAGCAGGAGAAACCAGAATGAGAACAGCAGCCGGAGGGGCTGCGAGAGGGCAGGCACTCCAACTCCTGCAGGGTGGGTTACTGGGGGCACCTCCCAGAGCACCTCCGAAGGGGACAGGGCTGGAGCACCTCAAGTACTGTGACCAGTGTTGGGCCCCTCACTACAGGAAAGACACTGAGTGTGTTCAGAGAAGGGCAGAGAAGCTGTGAGGGGTCTGGAGCACAGATGTCAGTGGCTGAGGGAGCTGGGATTGTTCAGCCTGGAAAAGAGCAGGTTCAGGGAAGACCTCATTGTTCTCTACAGCTACCTGAAGGGAGGTTGTGGTGGGGGTTGAGGAGGGGGTTCATCCTCTGCTCCTTCATAATAGTGACAGGACTGGAAGGAACGGCCTCAAGTTACACCAGGGGGGTTCAGGTTGATGTTAGGAAAAATTCTGTCTCCAAGAGTGGCACTGGAATGGGCTGCCTGGGGAGGCGGTGGACTCATCGTCCCTGGAGGTGTTAAGAAACATTCAGATGTACATGGGTTAGTGGGAAACGTTGGTGGTAGGTGGATACCCCACACAGGCTGCCAGCCCTGCCTGTGCCCCGCTGCTGCAGGCAGCGCTGAGAGGGCTCTGCAAAGATTCTGCCATGCTATTATTACCTAGCGTCTCGTTTCTTCAAGCGCTCCGGATGGCTGGACCCAGCATTCTGTTTTTAACAAAGGAAGAGAAATGAGAGCCCTGCCCGACCGCCGTGCTGCCTGCTGGCGTCAGCGCCGAAGCGGAGCACTGGCATTACACGCCGGCCGCGCTCTCTGCCAGGAGCTCTCGGCGCTGCATCTCAAAAGCAGCTCGGTGAAGCCTACCTGCCTGCCGTGTAATTTTCTGCAGTGGCCCAAACGCGGTGCCACCACTCCGGCAGCTCCGAGCGGCCCCGCGCCACTGCACCCCGCGCTCTGCTCCCAGCCCCGCCGTTCCCGCAGGCGCAGCGCTCCTGGTAGGCGGCGCGCAGGCTGCGCCAAGGCCGCGGGACAGCCGGCACGGCGTTATTTAATGGAGAAGCGCAGGTTCCAATAAGTCTCCATTTAATTCCGTCCCCGGTGAACTGGCGGCGGGGAATCGCCACCCGCTGTGCCGCGAGCCCGGGCCGTGACGCAGACACGCCGCCCCGCTAATGACCGTGCCCGTAACGCTCCGTCCGCTCACGGACCATTTCCTGCCTCCCGCCGCCACGTGACGGACTCGGCACGGGATCCGCCCGCCCCGGTCCGTGCCGAGCGCGAAGGAGCAAGGCTCGGTGTCCACCCGACGCCCAGGGCTCTGCCGGCCGGGGCACAGGGGCCCTCCCGCCCCTAACGGGGCCCGGGCACGGCCGGTCCCCGCAGCCACGCAAGGGGCACGCGGGGGTCCCGCAGCCCCGGCCGAGCTCCGCCGCAGCCCCGAGCCCCGCGCCCGGCCCGCGCCGCCTCGCCCCGCCCTGCCTCCCGCGGCGTCGCCTCCCATTGGCCGGCGGGCGGGGGCGGGCGGGCCGCTTTGTGACGTCACGCTCAGCTGTCGGAAGGTCCCGATTTGTGCGGGGCAGCGGCGGGCGCGGGGCAGAACCGCGGAGTAGAACCGGGGACGTCCCGCCCGCGGCGCCCGCTCCCGCCGCCACCTCCGCGCCCGCCGGCGCCGCGCCGCCGCCCTCTGACAGCGCCCGGTGCCGATACCGGCAGGGTGAGTGCGCCTTGCGGGGGACGGGGGCTCCGGGGTGGGCGGGTGTCCGGGAGTGGCGGGCGGCGGTGCGGCGGGGCTCCGGGCCGGACTCCACGGGAGCCTTTGTCTGGCGGCGGACGGGGCCGGGCCGGGGGGGCTGGGGGGGGGCCGCGCCCCCCCCCCCCCCCCCGCGCTGTTGTTTGTTTCGGCACCGCCGGATTAAGCCCGGCGCCTGCGCCCCGCTCCCATTGGCCGCGCCGGGTTGGAAGGCTGCGGTGACGTCGCCTCATTTCCATATGACATTGGGACGTCACGAGGCCGCCTCCGTCCCCCCCACCCCCCCGCAATGTCCTCCCGTGACCCCGCACGGCCCCGGCCTGGCGGCGGCACTTCCCAGCGGGGTCACCGCGCCGTGCCTGGGGCCTCAGCGGGCGGGGCGGTTCGGTTGGAGATGGCGGCTGTCCGTGGGGACGTGGGGGCACGGCGGTGTGTCGTCCGGCAGCCCCGCGGTGATGCGGCACTCGCGTTCCCGCGGCCTCACGAGTCGCGGCGCGTGTCCCGTGCCCGCGGGGCTCCCGGCTCGGCTCCGCCGCCGTCACCGCCGCTCCGCGCGGCCCCTGGGCGCCCTCGTGCTGCGGGACGCGGCCTCGGCTGCGGTTCCGCCGCGGGAATGGGCGTCGCTCGGGTGGCACGCGGGGCTTCAACGACAGCTGTTTGTTTGTTTTTTTTTTTTCCCGAAGAATAAATTTTATTATTTTTAATTCTCCGAAATAACGCTGAGGATCTTACCGCACCTCGCTGTCACCGTATCTGCTGCTCGTGCGCTTGGGTGCAACGGGAAGAACGCGGGGGAAGCGTTTCCCTCGAGGATGAGCCCGTGCCGCCCCGTGGGCAGGGCTGGATGCGCCCGGCTGCAGGCCTGGCCCGGTTCGGTGGGGCAGGAGGCGTCTGCGGGGCTGCGCGTGGGGCCGCTGCGTGGCGAAGCGCCCGCCGGGAGCTGCGAGGCGCGGGGTCACCCCGCGGGGCGGCCGGAGGGGGGAGGGGAGCGGGGCCGCCCCGTGTCCGCGTCCCCGTGTCCGCGTCCCCGTGTCCGCGTCCCCGTGTCCGCGTCCCCGTGTCCGCGTCCCCGTGTCCGCGTCCCCGTGTCGCGGTGCAGGGGTCAGGGCTTTGGTATGCCGTGTGTGCGAAGAGCAGCCCTGCGGGCGCTTGTCTAATTTAGGCGAAGTGCGCTGAAAATAGCGCTTCCCACGTGTGCCGGATTCGCGCACCTGATTTGCGCCGCGGTGCGGTGTGTCAGCAGCATCCCGCTGTGCCGCTATGAACGCTGCGGCACCCGGCGCTGCCGTCCTCAAAGGGTGAAGCTGCCGTGGGTCCCCGCGCAGCCCTGGTGCTCTCTGCCCCACTGAGTGTGAGATGAAGCCGCAGCTGGGGCTGCCCCTTGTGGGCTGGGGGACGTCCGGCACCTAAGGGAGCCCAGTGGGTGCATCACCCTTGTTGGCCTTTTCCATGGTGTATTTTTATTCTTAGGATTTAGTGCTCCAGGAAAGGGGGCTGCCTGATGGTTTAGAGATGAGCATGCGGATGGGTGCTGCTGGAAATGCTGTGCTGTGGCCGTGGTCCCGGGGCAGAACACTGCCATGGCCGTGTGCGTGACCAGGGAAGCTCCTCTGCTGCGCTTCAGTGCTGCAGAGGGAACCTTCCAGGATGATGGACGGAAGGATCCCAGCTGCTGTCAGTGTGGGGGCTTTGCTCCATGTCCAGCCCCGGGGGTGTTTTCATGTCCTTTTGTCTCTGGACCAAATGCATTTTCTCTGCACGGTTAATACTCTGCACCTTGTGTCTGCCATCTGTCTGCGGCTCTCTGAGGGCTTTGCGGCCATTAATGAAATTGGAGTGCTGGCCCCACGCTGAGCTGTGGGGAACTCTTCCCCAGCAGAAAACTGGAGCAATAATAAGGCCTGGCTGGAGGAGGACGCTGCCCAGGGCTGGGTGACACAGCCTTCGCCCTGCCCGGGCCGTGGTGCGCTCACTGCCTGCAGCAGTCCTGCTGTGTAGCCCTGGCTCTGCCCCCGTTCCCTCAGCTCGGGTGCACCAGGCACGCATGGCAGTGAGTCTGTGCTGAAGTGCCCACCCAGCGTTGGGTGTGGATGGGTGTGAGTGGCCGTCTCCACATGTGTGGCTGTGTGTGTGCCCTGCGCTGCTGGGTTTGGAGGCCCCGCTGGTACAGGCTTGGGGCTTTGTTGTAAAGTAGCAGTGGTGGCACGTGTGATAGGGTCACCTTCCAGAGCTGGAGGGTGGCAATGAAATGCATGCAGCTGCTTGAGAAGAGCATCTCTGCAAACAACCCACAGAGAATCTAACAGTAACAGCTTTCAGAATTAAACCAGCCCAAAACAGATTTCAGCAATAGTGAGACTTCTGGAGGTGAGAGTGCTCCCCAAGCTATTGGAGCCCATCCCCAGCGACTGCACGTTTCTAACAGAAGTCACATGCAGTGCATCCTTTGCTACAGCAGGGGCTGGGACCGCCTTCCTGCTGTCCCCACTGACACCACTCCTCTGGCCTGAATGCCCCTGTTCCCTTTTGCAGGCCTTTGCACTGAAGCCAAGTGAAGAACCTCATAACTGCGCTACGCGCCCTGCAACTCAGCAAAGACTTTCAGCAAAGCACTCCTGCCCCGAGGAAGGACCTCCAGCACCGCTGAGCTCTGTGCCCTGCCCTATCTGCCCGTCCCCACATTGAGGCAGGTGCTCAGCAGCTGCTTTTCTCCTGTCCCACCTGACTGCTCCCCACCATGTTCCAGCGTCTCACCAGCCTCTTCTTCAGTGACAGCAGCACACCAGAGGGCCTGGAGGAGCCCAAACCCTTTGTCTCGGAGGAGGAGGAGGAGGATGGATGGCTCATAATCGAGCTTGGAGGTGAGGAAAGCAAGGTTTCACACAGCTGCTGAAGGGTCTCTCCAGTGCTGGACAAGTGCTGTGATGGCATACCTTGCCCATTAGTGGAGAGATGCTGCCCTGGGGCTCCTTAGCCCTCAGTGCGAGGATGGGACCCCTGCACAGTGCCAGGTCAGGAGCAGACCCAGGCTTTTGAGTGATCCCACTGTTCACTGAGTGGGGGCAGAGCACTGTGGCCTTGGCTAAGCCAAGGGCAGGCAGGGATGACAGCCACATCCCCTGCAGCCATCTCCAGCTCTGTGATGTGCTGGGGTCTTCTGAGGCCAACCAAGGAGTGGAAAATCTCTCTGAAAGTCTTTGTAAGTGTTTATCTGCCCAAAGTGTGCCTGGGGCACTCAGGTGATGTCTGCTGCTGTGCCTGGGGAGCCCCTCCATGCTTTCTGCTCCACGGCTGGCTGGGCCCCCCTGACAGCAGCCAGGCCAAACACATTCCTTGGGCATGAGGGCTTCTCCAGCTCCATTAAGATCCTTGGGTTGCTATTGTAGGGTTGATGACTCAGCTGATTGCAATGATCATTTTGTGACCTTTTGCTTGCACAGGCACACACAAACAGCTGTCTGCACTGCAGGCCTTGGGCTGCTGCTCCTCAGTGCCCACCAGCTGCCTTTGCAGCCTCTCATGAGCACAGAGCCCAGTCCAGGGCTGGGGCTTGCCCCCCTTGGGGTGGGCACTGTTCTATGAGTCTGTCTCTCATGCACCAAGGAGAGCTCAGTGTTCTGATGTGAGTTGTTCCTTAGGGATCTCTAAGTCAGCTGCAGAGGGACTGGAGCACAGACCCACCGGGGTGGGGGGCTGGGGCACCTCAGTAACAATGGGAGCACTGCAAAGATCTGGACTGGGCAGGAGGGTGACATGGGCTCTGAAGTGCTCCTGGGTCACAGTTGTGATGTGGGAGGGGATGCAAAGAGCTCCTTGCACACGGGTGTGCAGATGCTGTGCACGGGGGCCAGCGGGCCTCTGTCCTGCTGCTGGCAGTGGTCGCAGTGTGCCCAAAGCGTGCCAGGAGGAGCCACGAGTTTTCCCCCAGCAGAGAAACACAGATCTGTGTCCTGCAGCCGTGGGTGGGGGCCTGCAGCCTCAGTGGGGCTCCAGGGCTGGCTGTGGTTTGAGGGGCTCCTGTTTTTCTGGGTGATTTTTTGTTTTTTAACTGAAGCAGCCAGGCCCTTGGTGCAGAGCCAGCTTTCAGCAGGGAGCCGGCATGGACCTGGCACCCTGCTGCTAATCCCTGCCAGCACCACGGCTGCCTAAGCGTTCCCCAGCCAGCGAGGGATCGAGTTAGTTCAGCCCTATTTTGGAGCCCGGAGTTATGCGAAGCGCTTCCAAACCAAAGCCTCTTGGCTTCAGCCCCGGCCTCTGTGTTGTGGCAGGCGAGCACCTCGCAGCCTGGCTGTCCCCCAGCAGCCTCCAGGTCTCCGACCCGTGCAGTGCAAAATGCACCTGAGTGCACGGCCCCGTGGGGCACAACTCAACGTTATGGCTCCCAGCCGCAAGTCCATGTGGTGTGGGCAGCCCGTGTGTCCAGGGCCCTCTTTGAGATGGATGGGGACAGCTTAGCACGTGTGGCCCCGTGTCCTGGGAGCATGCTTGGTCCCATTGACCAGCGCTTGATCCAGGCTCTGTGTCTGCTGCTGGCAAGCAATCTGCAGCCTGGTGCAGCCACAGCTGTTCCTCACCTGCTGTCTACTGACCTGAAGCCAGGTGCTCTCCTGTCTGCAGGACTAATTGTGCCGGCCCTGTCCCAGGTTCAAGGAGCTGGGGCGTGTTAGAAGGCAAACACCTGCCTTGTGCTTCGTAATTTTTCCAGCCTGTTAAGGCAGCACAGGCTCATGTTTGCCTCTGATTTCTCCTTCGCCTTCAGCCGGTAGCGGCGTCAGTGCTGTCCGCACAGACTGTGCTGTGCCCTTCCCCAGCAGAGCGTGGTCCTGGTGGCTGCGAGGCAGTGCGCTCAGCTGGCCGGGAGGAGGCAGCCGGCAGACTGAAGTCAAAGGCGATGTGGAAACATCAGGTGAAGCACTGATACTCCAAGGGAAAGGTTTTTTCCAGGGAAAAGGTGCGCACTGTGTGTGCTCTGCTTCCACGTGTGCACGGTGTAGTTTGCTGCCTTTCTTGAATGGCACAGTTCAGGAGATCTAGGAAAGCTTGCAGACAAAAGCAAGGATTTTTTTTTTTAGCTTTGGCCAAATTTCTTTCTCTGCTTCAGGAAAAGAAAATAAAAGAAAAATAAAAAGGAAATAATTACTGCCAGGATCCCCAACTTTTGGTGAAGCCACCCACCAGAAACCAGTGCAGGGTCAGGGCGCAGGGCACGGCCGCCCAGCTGGCACCCGCTGCGCCCGTCTGCGGCGGCGATGCCCCGGGTGCCTCGCACACTAACGATGCCCCTTTCTCTCCCCCCTCTCCCCACTGTACATGGTGTGTGTGTGTCCCCGCTGCGCCCCGCATGGCTCTGCACCCCGCTTGCTCCCCAGGCGGTGCTGCCCACCCCGGTGCACAGCGGCGGGCAGGGGCTGGTGGCCACGGGTGCTCGGTGCGGCCCCGTCCGGCACCACCACCTGCCTTGCCACCGGCCCCGGTCCCAGCTCACACCGGCAGCCCCACGCCCACCCTGCCCAGCCCCTGCTTGATGGACGAGAGTTGGTTTGTCACCCCTCCCCCCTGTTTTACTGCAGAGGAGCCCGGCCCCGACGGCGTGGGCAGCAGCCCGATGGAGGACCTGCTCATCGAGCACCCCAGCATGTCTGTCTATGTCACCAGCACCCTCGAGCTGGATGCAGAGGGACCTCAGGACGATGCTGCCGGGTGAGTGTGAGCTCAGGGACCAGGGCGGCCACACACAGCCTGCGACATTTTGCCCGTGCTGCCTAAACCCTGGGGGGACCTGGGGTCGGTGCTTTGAAGAGGTTGGCCTAGGGTAATATTTAATGCCAAAGGTGATAAGACTCTGGGACAGGTTGATCAGAGAGGTTGCGGATGCCCATTGTCATAGAGGTGTTTAAGGTCAGCTTGGAGCAACCTGGTCTGTTAAAGATGTCCATGGCAGGGGTTTGGGTGTGATGATCTTTGAAGGTCACTTCCAACCCAAGCCATCTTGTGAGTCAGTGACACCAGTGTCCCTTTGTCCTACCTGGCAGGGTGCCTTGGCCAGCGCCATGCAAAGACAGCAGCCTCCATGCCTGAAAGTATTCTGGCATGCACTAGAACCGTGTTAACATGACTGTGGGCATGGGGCTGGCCACGTGAAACCTTTGCTTGCTGCTGGGAAGGCACTGGCCTTGTCCTGCTCCTCTCCTGCATATTCCATGTCACCCCACTGCCAGGCTGGGGAGTCTGCCAGGCTGGGCTTAAGCCTGGTGGCTTGCATAAGTACAGCATGAGCAGAGAAGCCCCACCAGGAGAGGGTGGCCCTGAGCACATCAGTGTCCTTGAGCCTTCATTTTCCCCATACAGGGGAATGCTGCAGCCTGCTGCCACCAGCTCTCCCTCCTGGCTCTGCTGGCTCGGGTCACACTCCCACTGTGTGCAGCAGTGGGACAGGGTGCTCTCTTCTTCACCCACCACATGTGGGTGCAGACCTTTCTTTCTGACTCATATTCCAGCATAATGGGGATAGTTAAACAGAGATGCCATAATCTGCCACCTAACCGAGGCGCAAACAAAACCCCCTGACATCCCCTTCCCTGGGAGCCTGCAGGATGCAGCCCGTGATCTGCCCTTCCTGCACCTGGGGAGCTCTGTCTTCTCCCCGTGGCTCTCCCTCACAGTGCTCAGGAAAGCCCTGACCGCGTTCAGCTGACCCAACCCTGGTGCTGCTGTGCTGGGTTGCTGCTGCCCTGTCCCTGCGAACCTTTCCCCCAGGGTAGGGAAGCATTCTCCGTGTCACAGCTTTACTATGTACCTAGCCTTGCAAGGCAGAACTGGGGGTGAATCTGTTTGGCCAGGGGATGATGTCCCTCTTGGCCTCCTCCATTTGCAAAGCCCTTCTGAGGGCCACGGTGCCATCTCTAGAGGAACCTCAGTGCTGGTGGTGAAGGAGGAGGGAGGCCAAGGGGAACCAGGAACAGGCAGGGGAGCGAATCTGCTTTGGGAGCAGCATGGGCACAACAGGGCATGGGCTCCCACCCATTTCAGCACGGTGGTGGCAGCGTTGGCCAAGCAGGGTCCTGCCCAGAGCGTCCCACAGCCCTCGCGTGGCGACGTGTGGGGATGGGCTCCACATGGAGCGGGGCACAGGAGGGCGGCTTGCGTGCGGGATGCGTGATGGGAGCCCTGGGCACCACCGACCTCTGACGGCCCTGCGTTCCCACAGGGAGGTGCCGGAGCCCCGGCTGGAGCGGCACGCGCCGCACCGCAGCGCATCGCTGTCAGTGAAGGCCGCCGTCCTGGAGAAGATCAGCCAGGCACGGCGCGTGCAGCGGGCCAAGCAGCTGGCCGAGAAGCCGTGGCTCAGCCAGAAGGCGCTGCAGCGGCAGGACCGGGCCCGCCAGCGCCCCCCCCGCCGGGCCCGCCAGCGCACGGGGAGCTTCCTCCACCAGCCCTGCCAGCGCCACTGCAACTACTGACCTCGCCCCGGCATCCGCCGGCGGGGCTCGGCATCCCACCGCCGCCGGCCCCGGCGCCGCCGCCCCGCGCTCCCTCCGCTCCCCTCACCTCTCCGGGCCGCCGCTCGGCGTGGTGCGGACGGTGGAGCAGCGCGGCGCTCTGCGCTGAGCCCTGCCGGCCGCTACCCCGAAACAGCCCTTCCCTAAACCCGTGGAGAATCCCGATGGTTGCGTCCTGAGGAGCTGTGACATCAGTGCCTTTCTTCGCGACGTCGTACTCCTCCAAGTGAACAGACCGCGATGTCACGATGCCGAGCAGAAGTGGCGAAAGGGACAGAGGCGAGATTTGGTGTTTGAGGGGAAAAAAAGACGACGCTGTAACTGATGATGCTTCCTCCTCCCGTCCCTGCCGGCAGAGCAGAGCACAGGCGGAGCTGCTGTCGCTGCTGCCGGCAGCGCTGCTGGGCCCTCGGCGGCTCCATCTCGGCAAAACCAGCAATCCCTCTTCCTGCCCAAAATTCTTCATTGCGTTTTTACCACACTAATATGAAAACCCCACTGCCGTTTGCTTCAGAGAGCCAGGGGGGCTCCGCGTTCTGTGTTTTTAAAGACAACTTTACCAGAAATCTCAGGAAACAAAGCACTGAGCCGGGAGCTGCTGGAGCTCTGCTGGGAGGTGGCGGCCAGGCGCTGGTGCGGCGCGGGAACGTCGGCGGATCCCCGCAGCCTCCATCTGCGCGCCCGGTGCCACCACGCCACGGCCACGAGCAACCACAGCTCCTGTGCTGTGCGAGCCAAGGAACATCAGCTGCCCTGCGCCACCCCCAGCAGCAGAGCGCAGAAGGGACCCGCGCAGACCCCCAGGTGGCAGAAGCATGATGGAGCTGGCAGCAAGAGAACGTGAAGGAAAGGAAAGGATGGAAACCAGTGGTTGCAGCATGAGGCCAGGCAGCAGGAGGGCTGCAGGCTGGATCTGTGCCACAGAGGGAGCCCTGCCTGCCCCCGCCAACACTGTTTCGCTGATGGCAGCCACTTCCAGGCCTGGGCGATGCTTGGTGGTGCTGCTGCACTCAGGCTCCTCCTGGCACCCAGTGCCGGCCCCTGGAACTTGCTGCCCTTCATCATTGGGAACCCCTGGAATGGCGGCGTAGGAGCTGCTTTTAGGCAGTCGTTGTAGGCCCAACCTCAGACTGCTGACTTTATTTTTTTAAATGAGAGAAAAACCCACCCCCAGACCCTCCTCCAGTGAGCGGCCTCCCAGGTCCCTGAGTGTGGACGTGGCTGGCACTGCTTGCCTGCAGGGCTTACCTTTAGCTCTGATGACACCGTGATCCCAAAAGCACAGGAAGAATGGAAATTTATTTCAAATGCTTTTATTCTAAGCCACACATGGGAGCCTTCCAGATTCAATTCTTCCAGGCCAGTTACTCGTTCCGGTCCTGCTGGGCACAGCGCTGGCTGCCATGCTGCTGGGAGCCCAGTGCTGGGCAGTCCCATTCCTAACAGGAACCCCCATTTCAAACTCTCCTTTCTAATTTCAGTAGCAGGCAGAGTAAAAGTTCTGAGGCAGAAAACAGGCAGTTCTGTTGTGCTTCTTTTCCAGCTGTTCTGGTAAGCACAGAGCTGCAGAGCTTGTTCCCAGAGCAGAGCAGGAGCGAGCTGGGGGTCAGTGCCTCATCCTGCCCACCCTGGGCACAGTCAAGATGCGCAGTTTCATTTCTGTATCGGAGACTGATGGATGGATGATTCCTTGACTTGAGAAGAAAGTTTACATCCTTCAGCTTCCTTGGCTTCACGTGAAATGCCTTTTTATTTCTGAAGTGATCCCTGGTACAAACTGGGAGCACTGCTCTCGTAGGAATGTGGCTACAGGCGCTGCTGAGGATGACAGCACTTTTCTCGGGCACTTCGGTGTGGTGAGGAGGGCTGGGTTTGATACCTTGAGTCACATCCCACGCTCCTGCTCTCTCCCAGAGCTCTGGATAATATCCCCGTTGGCAATGCCTTCAGAGGAAGAATTTTTTCTCTAGCCCAAATGCACATCAAGAAGCTAACTGCCAGCAATTCCTGCCTCCCAGCCATCTCAACCTGCTGTAAGTTCTGCACATCTGAGCAGCCACCAGTCCCAATGGCCCCTGCAAGGAGCTCCCAAAGCCAAGGCTGGGGGATCCACCTCCACCCCTCTGCAGCTCAGAGGTGCAGATGGGCACCGTGCAGCCCCTGGGCCGAATGCTGCCTCATGCACACTGTGTGTCTTGTGTCCACTCCGCTGCTTGCAAGCGTTGCCCCCTAGGAGACTCCTCACCATGTCAACACTCTGCTTCCTGCTCCTCCTGGCGCCAGGGCATCCGCAGCCCCTGCAGAGCCCTCAGTGGTTCCCATCATCTGTTTCAAACAGCAAATGCTGTTGCTCCGTCCTGTTTTGGGGAAGAGACTGCAGAATGTTCTGTTTTCCTTTCATCTTTCTGTGCCAGTCTGAGACATCTGTCATCACGCTGCTCCCGACCAACACAGGAAAAAAAGTGGAACTACTATCACACTTTTCATCAATAATATCTTTATAAAAGGTTGATAAATTATTAACAGTGTTCTAATGAAGAGGTTAATCCAGAGACGTAGCATCCCATGGGCGAGTGGAGTGCACTTACTATGGTGAATAGGCTCCTGTGGTTCCCCCCTCTGTTGTTTGCACACTTGCTCATGTATTAATATCTATTAATCACTGATTAACCCCGCACACGGTGTGGATTCACTTCTCGCACTTTGTGACCGACACTTCTGTTGCTGTGGCAGAGACACCTTTGAACTGCACTTTGCAGAAGACCTGTGCTGCTCCTGTCGTGTCCAACGGTGATCACTCCAGCCAGCCTGATACCAAATCTCCTGTCCCACTGTTCTAAGATCAAGGAAAACCCTTCGCACTGAGGTGACGAGCCTCCTTGAATCTTAAAACAAATGAAAGGTGCTTAAAAACTGAGAACTTTTTGGTGTGCACAGGTGTGCACGTGTAAATATTTTCAAACCCGGTGTGGATGTTCAGTAGGTTGTTTTGGGGTTTTGAGTTTTTAGTTTTTTGCATCCGGTCTTTTTGATTTGTGAGTAGCTGTGTGGTGCTCCTGGCGGGAGGGGAGCACAGAGCAGAGAGAGCTGTGGCCGCGTCCTGCTTGGGCAGTGGGGCGAGTTCTTGGCTTTGTTTTGTTGTGCAGGGGGAAGCTGCAGCGTGGGCTCAGGGACAAATGAGTTGGCTGGGGCCCATCATGGGGTGCTTTTCTGGACACCTCCATTCGGACGTGGGTTCCGTTGCTGCCCATGAGGCCGTGGTTACTCACCTGTGCAGAGCTGTAGGGCTGTGTGCACTGTGTCCCCTAGGCAGCATGGAGTGGGGATGTGTGGGCATGGGCACAAGAGCAGTAGCTGCATCCTTGTGCTGTGTTATCTCCGATTCCCTTGTGTTTATCCCCAGATCCACGTCGTACTGCTAGAATGGAGCAGGCCAGTTCTGCTGTAAATAACCCAGCGCAGACTGATGCCTTGAGAAAGCCCCAGGATTTGGGCAGCCAGACGGCACCGTCTGCTTCTGTGCAGCAGTGTGAGGCACTGGGGTCAGAGAGCAATGCTGGGGCAGGCAGGCAAGGATTGCTTTTGCCACTCTGGCAGCTCAGCGCAGACACGTCCTGTTGTCCAGTTCTGGCTCTGGCACTGGGAGCCGCAAGGTGGGGCAGAGGGCTCTGAAAAACGCAGCCACAAGTGTGCTTTCCAAAACAAGTGCTGTGAAGGCTCGCTGCAGGGAGGAAATGGTTCTTTCCACAAGAGTCAGCTTTTCTGTAATGGAGAAGGCTTCATGCATAGCTCATCCCAAAGATCACCTCCACAGGAGTATTCACTGTACCTCCAGGCACGTTGCTAATGAATGGGTAATTCTATGTTTACATCTTCTCTATTCAGCCCCACCGGGCAGGAAGACGCACAGTCCTGTTCTGCTCAGAGCGAGAAAATGCAGAAATAACACTGCACTGAGGCTTGAGACACTAACGGCACAGCTTCGTGATTGCTCCCACAGAGGCTCAGCATCAATTCCAGTGCCTGGCAGCACCCAGGCCTCCCCTGAATGCCCACGGTTAGAGCAGGCCTGCAGAGGTGTGCCTTGATTTCACTTTGATGCCAGCTGCCAGTGGTTCAAAGTCGTGAATATTACCCCATGTAATCCAGGGCTCAGTCCTTGTTATGTTAATGTGACCACAGCGTCTTCCGGCCTCAGGCCACGTTGTCCACGCACCAGGAGGGCCTTTGTGCTTCTTAGAAGAGGTCCGTCTTTATTGAAAACTACAACTCTTTCTTTATAACGTGAGGCAGAACAAACCGTGCAGCTCTGTGGAAGAGCGAAGCTGTGCCGTGCTGTATTTCTTCCGTTCTGCCCCGCAGGCAGACGAGGTGTGGGGTGCCTGCCCCATCCACTGGGGGTGTTGCTTTTCCAGCTCAGTCACCAAAATGCTGTTAGAGGGAGTCTGCCACACACCCTGTGCCTGTCAGCGTGTGAGCTCACAGTGTGCAGACCTGACAGGAGCTTTGGCTCCACTGCAGCTGACAGCACAGCTCCTGCCGCTGCTTTGCACTGTCTGTGCAGCGGGGCTGGGGGGGGCAAGAATATTTTATTCCCTTCAAACGGAGGGGGAAAGAAACCAGCACTGTAAATTCCTGTTTGTAGCTTAAAACCAGGCTGCGCAGCCATGGGGAGCCCCACGCTCCTCCACTCCTTCACCTTCCCCACTCACACTTATTGGAAGCTGGTCGCAGGTGTGCCCAGGTCTTGCTAAATTTTTTCTTTAGCTCTGTTTCATCACAGTTACACTTTGGGAAAGCGGGGGGTGGGAAAGTACAAGGCGTAACAATAAAATAGTAATAGTCGTTTTTTTTTCTTGTATCATAAATTCACCTGTACGGAGCAATGGAGCATTGCAACATTTTATTTATATGTATCAGCCCTACGACTAGGTATTCTGCTTGTAAAACTCACCTACACT